TTTTTTTTTAATACAATGGGGTGGGGCCATCGCCACAGTGAGGGGTCTGTAAGACTCCTATGAAAAAAATTGCCTTGTACGCGGGGCATAATCCAATAATTATTCCTATGGTACTCACTATCAATTTCTTAATCTCCACGTGTATTTTATTTCTTAAGAAAAAATAAGCAGAACTTTCCTTTTTTTCGTTAATCGTTTCAAATAATAACAGTAGAAGTCAAAAAAAAATATATATATATATCATTGGTTGGTAGTAAAGTTATAGCGTAGACACTTGCATATTTGGTAGTAAATTTCTTCACGAAACAAAAAATGTTAGGTGTTAGACAATGACCTTAGTTATGATTTAGCATGTAATTAGGAACATAAGTGGTCCCATAACCTCTTATTTTCATTGCAAATTATAACTAATCATGTAAAACTTGATATTAGGACTTAGTTTGGCCTTAATAATTCCAATTTTTTGATAGGCGTGAAAGGGTTAGGTAATATTAATGAACAAGTTTGGTTTTAGTCGAGTTATCTAGTATAAATTGAAACTTTTGAATCGAGAACCTTTATATTAACAATAGAAGTATTGTTGACGTAAAAAATGGTTTGAATCTCTATACTAACGTATGAATTTATTTCCTTCAGAATACTTGCTAGACACAACTTGCTTGGTGAGTTCAATCACATACCAAAGGAGGTGAATCATTTCTTACTCCAATGATCAAATCAGTAGGGTACGAAAGCTCATAGTCATGTAAGAGTTATTGATCTTTTTTCCATATTTACTTCTGAATAAGATAGCTCGAGAGAATAAAAAAATGATCTGACTGTGTAGATAAGCCACCACATAACCTGCAATGTCACCTATTTTTATTATAATTTATAGTTTAAATACATCCCAACTAGATTGACACCTACTTAAGTCTTAATTATAATTTAGTTGTTCAAAAATTATATATTTTAATATTTGTTCTCCAATGGCTCTCTCCCCCATTTTTTTCAAAAATTTTTAATTTTTTTTTCAGGGATCAGTGGGTTAACCGCGGCCCGTGAAGGTGCAATCCGCGAAACCCGCGGGTCACACCTCCTTAACCCGTGAACCGCCTGCTCGGGTCACGGGTCACTTGTTGTCCCGAGTCGATCCGGGCCGATTTTCACGGGTCTGGTCGGTCCATCCGTCCGTCTTGACACCTCTACATGAGCATATGAATGCTACAGGATACGGCTAACGTGATTAACACACAACGGTTAAATTACTAGAATATCTAGATTCAATCTTGCTAGTTTTTGGTTGGTCCTAATCGTGATGTACATTGGCTCAACTTGATTCTTCAAATATGCGAGTCCCTCATTTCGGCACAGCACTACTGCATGCATACATATCATTCGTAGTACATCCGTTGGTAATTTTTCATTGTTGAAAAGCTGTCATTTAGTAGTAGGCACTTGCACATTGACTTAATTTGATCCTTCAAATATGCGAGTCCCTCATTTGGAAATAGCACTACTACATGCATACATATCATTCATTAACTACTTCTAATAAATTCTTGTAAACCTAAAAACAAAAATAAAAAATTAGCCAATAAAATTGGAAATTGAGCAACCCGACATGGACTTTAGAAAAGTTGGACATGTCTTTGTACTCGATATTGAGTGTTCCCCTGGATCATTGGAATTTGACCAAGGAAACAACGCGGGGTTACCTTCTGAAAATAACGTTACAACTCCTAAATCAAGTTGCACTGTGGTGGTTGTTGTCTGTCTTGACAATTGTCTCTGCTCAGTTTCCATTTTCTTTTTGGCTAAATCACTGCCATAAGTTTTTTTTGTAGGCCATGTCTGGTTTGGCTAAAAAAAAATGAAGATAGAAATTTAAGTCAAAATCAACGATGAATTTTAGCCTCACATTTTATGGAATCCACAATTTTTAAACCACAAATTTCATCAACTTTTTAAAAAAATTTACTAATAATATGATTTTTAATCAAACTAAACAAGGCTTAATTGTAGACCAGTTATTATACAAGAATTATATGTATTTTTTTTTATTTGGTGCAAAGAAAAATGGTTCGTTCAAGCATTTCCTATTGAACTTTTCATATTTATGGCGAACGAGGGAGAAAAATTGAATACTTAAATTGAGAAAATCTTCTCGTTGCTAGCTAGCATCACGAAATCTAAAGTCTCATGATTTCAATTAGGGAGAATTGCAGACGCGATACCAAACATTTTATTGTGTTACAGACTTGATCGAAACCTTTTATTTGTGAAATCCACGGCACCAGACCTTTCAGAAATTCTCATTTTTAAGTACACATTGATGAAAACCATCAATTTGACTGTTAGTTAATCATAATAGTAAACTTTGAACAATTTAGAAAATGGTAAAATACAACTTCAATGTAAAATACAATTATAACAAGGGTTAATTTCACAAACCGTCATTGAACTTATCTAAAAATTACAAAATGGTCATTGAAATTTAAAACTTGCAGAAACGGTCACTAAACTTACTATTAGGATTGTTATGATGTTAATTCAAGCTTAAATGTCAAAAACACGTGGACATAGAAGATTCAGGACCTCAAGTGCAATTTTCTTGCTATTAAGGCCCAAACCCAATTTTTTTTTTTCACAATTCACGATCTGAAGTTTCGGGCGCTTTGGGAGAAAATCATGCC